AGGGAAAGTAATCAACAGCTATGTTCAACAACATGAATGAAGCTTACAAAATAATGTTGGGAGAACAACTGAAAAAACTCAGAACAGCACGTGACTATGATTCCATTTTAAATAAATTATGAATACAGGAAAACTAAACTGGGTAGTAAAATCATAAAAAGAAAAAAAAACAATGATTATCATGCAAGTCAGGAGACGGGCTACATCTATAGGGAAAAGAGGGTGATGCAATCAGGAAGAGGCATATGTGTGTTTCTGGGGTGTTGGCCCTTTATTTTGTGCCTGGGGTAGTGACGGGATAGAGGAGTTTTGCTTTATAACTGTTTTAAACTGTGTGTGTGTTTATATGTTTGAGTATATATATTTGAATATTACATATTATTTTTTGATGTTCTGAACAAAATATTGATAAATTTTGACTACACAAATACCTGGGCCGAAGTAGGTCTTTCTTGAGGATTTTCTTTCAAACATTTTTTAATTAACTTTTCAACCATAGGCCATGGGGCACAACCATATTCTTTAACTGGATCTAAAACATTAAAAAACATTAAAAAACACGCTTAAACACTGGACAAATCAGAAAAATTATTTTATTTCTTCTCAATGTGTATGAGAGGTCAGACATTGCAAAGGAACTACTGATCTCTATAATCCCATATATATCATGAATCTACTTATCACTCTTAAAGCTAATTTTGTTAACTGTCTCCACTAGAGACATCAAGAATGAGTTCTTAATTTTTACAGTATAAAAAGAGACACAAATACCAATTGAATAAAAATAGATTTTCCTTTCATACCTTCATTTCAAATAGACTTTGAAAACACTTTTGTTCATATAATAGACTTCTTTGCAAATATTTTTGATTTTAATATTCAATGTAGACAAGCATTTAATCCATTTAATCCAAAGTTACCCCCACAGTCACTTTGTGCACATTTGTTTTTTTTATAAGAGGTATGCCGTTTTTCTGATTGGTATAGAATACAGACCTGAAAACTTTCACTGGAAAGCTAACTGATAAAATGAGGGAGATGACCTAGATTGTGCACAAAGTTTAGTCAAGTAATAATAGATTTCCTTCTGTTGGGAATCTTTAAAGGTCCCCCAGAAGGAGATAGTTAAAGCTGTATTCCCTGTAGATGGAACATAGTATACACTCAAAACTTTCCTTAAATGAAAAGAAAAGCAGAAAATATGAGAAACAGCTAAATATATTTAAAAGAATACTTTAGAACGAGAACTGAAGAGTTAAGGAATGAATGACAAAGCCCTAGAATTTCTTTAAAGCATGAGGCAACCATTCAAAATGAGATTTGATCTCATTAAATACTCATTTACTAATTCTTACTAATATTTACTACTAAAAATTATTATTGTAAATAATTCAAGCTTCCATTCCTGCATAGAAATTACTTCACTCCAAGAAAATGAAAATACCCCAAGCTAATGGACACTTAGTAACTCCTTACGAGAAGAAAAGTCACTAAACCTGGAGTTCTAATAGTATTTCCTTTTCTGAGTATTCTTCTAAATATAATACCAAATATATCAGTATTTGGAATATTAAAAAGAAGCCCTATAACTTCCATCTTTCTCATATGATTTTATTAATATGTCACAGAATTTAAGAATATTCATGCACTAAAAAAATTTTCAGCTGTGAAATGAATTACTATACAACTACAATTAAATAACTTAGAAATTAAGCTTCTACTATTAAAAAATAATAATAATCTTTATTGTAGATAAAATAAAACTTACCAGGTAATTTTCCTTGTATTGCCAATTCATCAAACTCATTTGGGAACTTCAAACCCTCTGCTATTCTACCTCCAGTTGTCAAGATATCATAGAGTAGCAAACCAAATGAATAAACATCAGCCTGTTGGTTATAAATAACATTTCCTCTGGCAACTTCAGGTGCACGAAACCCTGAAAGTAAGCAGACATATTAATAAATATACCCAACCCCAGAACTTATACACCCAGGGAGGTATATACTTAGGCATATGTGCTGATGAAGAGACAGGAAGATGAGTTAAACAGGCCACATCATCTCTATAAGAAGACATCTTAATCAAGTCAATTAACAGCCCTGTCCCAGGACATTTCACCCCAAGGTCATCTTGAAGAATAATAAGGATAAACATTCAATAATAAATTATTAAGTGATATTTCATAATTAAATAAATAAAGCCTAAGAGGGGAGAAAAGTCTACATCATTCTTAATAATAACTATTCCCAGAGCAGTGTTTCAAACAGAGGAGGAGACGGGAGGGAGATTTCTAGACTTCACTCCAAGTCATTTTAACCTGGCTGCAATGTTAATGGCCTTATTATTCCAAGAATTGTGATTCTGCTCCTTGAACCCAACTGAACACTAAAAAGAAAACCTCGAATAAAACGAATAAAAGCCCTCTCTCTCAGATGTAAGTTCACGCCTGAAATCTCTTAAAGAAAAATAAAACCTTTCATTTTGCAATAGAGATAAATCATTTTTAATCATTTCAGGGAAAAAAAAGTAATTTCAACATTACCTGTAATAGTCAACAATCTAAGGAAAACCAACTATGTTCTATATATAAATATTTGAAAAATAAAAACATTAAATTATCACGTTTTGACTATTAACTTCACGAAGATTAAAAACAATAACAAACCCAGAATGGGAAATAGGTGCTCTAATTCAAGTTTTGAGGGAATTTTAATCGATAAACCTTTCTAGAAGGCAATTAGTATTTCAAAATATGCCTACCCAGCAATATGATTTTTAGAAATTTAATGTTTAAAAATTAGTTTCATAAATGGGAAAATTTTAATTTACAAGTCTATTAATTAAAGCCTTTCAATATATCAAAAAGTTCGAAAAAATTAAATATACATCAAGATGTGGTTAAGTAAATTACTGAAATATTATGTAACTGTTAAAACTGATATTTGACACAGAAAGATGTCCCTGAAATATTAAGTAGAAAAAGAAAACAAAGACGCAGAATTTACAATACAGTATGTATATAGAACACTCGAGCACATCTAAATCTAGATATATCTCCTTGTTGCCAGAGTGTTATTTCCACTAATTTATTAGAAACACATATTTTGACCTGCTCAATAGCATTTGCTGCTTTCAACTCACAACCTTATGCTTTGCAAATCAAATCTTAATTTAAAACATCATGGAGTCTTTCAACCAAAATGGGGAGGGGAGGGGGACTGAGGGCATCAAGACCTAAGCTATCAACATAACATTTAACTATCAATCTAAACCATAAGATCCTCCAAGCTACTCTACGTGTATCCTTATCACTGAGGACTTCCCTGGAAAAGCAAATGAAATTTCTTCAAAAAATTTTGCCTTATATTTCAGTATACTGGTCACCATAGTGGTAACAGGAAGAATAACACTTCAAGCTACTCAATGTATTCACCACTGAATTTAATTTGGGATGAAAATGAACACTTTTAATGTTACTTGTCACTGGAAGGCTAGAAATAAAAACATTTCCTGCCTGTTTACAAAAGAACAGTGTTGTCACCTGATCTAATACTGTGAATGATCTATGGTGGGTATGGACCATGCTACTGTACTACACGGATACCCTCTTTAGCATTGATGCCCCTCAAAGATTACAAATGTTAAGTACTAACTAAAATCCTAAATGTACGTTGTTGTATTAGGCTGTTCAAATAAGTCATTTATTTAAACATGTATCACTTCTACTTCTAGGTAAGATAGACCAACAGGGACTAGACTTACCATTCTGCATAAAACAATGAAATAACTAGACAACATGTATGAAACTCTGGACACCAGGAACACGAGACAGTGATCTCTGAGAGAGAGCAAACAAACAAGATGAGTTTTCTGAGTGCCCTTCAGAGGACAGGCAAAGGGAAGGCAAACAGAGCCTTCTGTGTTAAGAAGGGGGCCCCCTGTGTTAAGAAGACAGAGCAGAGGGCTTCCCTGGTGGCGCAGTGGTTGAGAGTCAGCTGCCGATGCAGGGGACACGGGTTCGTGCCCCGGTCCGGGAAGATCCCATATGCTGCAGAGCGGCTGGGCCCATGAGCCATGGCTGCTGAGCCTGCGCGTCCAGAGCCTGTGCTCTGCAACGGGAGAGGCCACAACAGTGAGAGGCCCACGTACCGCAAAAAAAAAAAGAAGACAGAGCAGAGAGTCCAGGAAAGCAAAGACAGCTAAGGAATGTGCCAGGCACTGTGCTAAACACTTTACATGAATTTCTCATCTAATTTTCACAACAATCCCCTATAACAGATACTATTATTAGGTACTACTGTTTAACCAAGGAAAGGAATTAGGTAATTTCTCCAGCCCTGGCTAGTAAGTGGTAGAGCAAGGATTCAAACTAAGACATTCTGACTTCATAGCCCAAGTTTAACAGAATCTAGACAGCCAATAGTCATTAGGTCATATATATCTATCTCCAGTGCGGTGCCTAGAATGTGTACCATTGAGAAAGATTAATTTAAAACAGACATTTGCTCTTTTTCAATGTTTCAAATAAGAACATAAGTCTAAATGCTATTCATATTTACTCTCATAATTTTTTGCTTATATCACAGGCTAATACTCTCAAAATCTAGAGTAAATGCTAATCGTCTTGTTAAAAGTTTCTCTGCAAATAACATTTTCCCCAATGTGAGACAATACCAAAATTTGAGCTGCCCATCTTATAACTGATTTATAGAGGCAATGACACTATTTATATGATGAAGAGATGGGAATCACCTGGGGATCATTTAAATAACTTCAATGTCTGGGCTCCACCCAAACTAGTTAAATCAGAATCCTGGGCATGGGGTTCTGCTACCCGTACATATGAAAGTCCTCCAGGAGCTTCAAACATGTGGCCGCATTGAGAGCCCCTGCTCCACACCTACTAAAATACAACTGCAAAGGACACAACCCTAGGGGATATATCCCTTAAGCCCTACATGTTATCTAATATACAGCCAGAATTGAAAAACATAACCAAAGAATCCTCCATCCTCCATCTGTCACTTAGACCGCACGGAACTTCTTGCAGTTATCAGAATGAGACAAGTCATTTTCTATCTTAGCACATTTTGCCTGAAATGTCTCCTCCCACTTATTTATTTATTTACTCAAACCTCAAACTTCTCCTTTAAGATGTCATTCCAGAGTCACCTCCTCTATGAAGGAAGTCCTGACAACCCATAGCTCAGTTAACCACTTGCGCCTTGCACTATCACTGTACCTTGAACTAGATCTCCTGTTGAAACTGATACCATGCTTTATGATTATTGTTTACAGCCCTGTTTCTCCTGGCAAAATGTGTGCTTCTGGAGACTAAAATTTACATTTATTCATGCCCATTCTCCAAGTTCAGCACTAAAACAGCTAACACACTTGGCACAACTGCAACATGCCAGCTCTTCTCTGTTACTTACATGGGTTACCTCATTTTACCCTTAAACAACTCTTTGAGGTAGGCATTATTTTTCTCGTCACAATTTACAGAAATGAAAAGTGAGCCCCAGAAAGTGAATCTTGAGCACCACACAGCTATTAAGTAGTGACACCAGTTTGATATTTGGTAAACATTCAATAAATTATTGCCAGATGCATGAATAAATGAATAAAAAATAAGAATACCTTTCCCTTAGAGAATTATTACAAGTCACAATGTTAAAATAATTGGGAAAATATGATGCATTTGTCTAAAAACTATATTTAGAGATACTTTTTCAGAGAAGTCTGCATTTAAAAGATCCATAGATCAAAAACATGAGAAATTTATTAAATTAGGTCTGACTATATATCACAAAGTACCCAGAAACATATACTTTCTCTTTTACTTTCCAAAAAGTCTGAGTAGAGCATATTTCATAATTTCTATCAGATGATAGGTATAACCAGAGAATAACATTTTTGTTTACCCAAAGACTGTTGTATTTCTGTGGATGCTGGCGGGGTGAAAGCCATCAGTCAGCATCCATCTCAGTCAACAGTGTAACTGTCATAAGACCCAGAATTAACTGTTGCTACTAACAGGATATAATACATACATACCCATTTGACTGAGTTAAAGTTGAATCTCTCCAAATCATTTGAAGTTGAAAGTTTCCATCCCATATTCACCTTTGAAAATGTAGACAGACATGGTGCTGTGGTACTTGCCAATAACCGAATTGTTTCTACATTTGCGCTCCAGCTATGATGGTACCTGGCCAGGGGCTGTGTTCTAAGGAAGGTTGGGTTTGTGTCTTATGTGACCCTATAGACATTTTTAATGGTCCCTAAGCTTTATTTAGTTTCCTTATCTGTAAACCAGGAATAATAATAGGACTCATGCCAGAGGGTCATGAGGGTTAAATGAGATAATCAACCTATGCAAAGGGCTAAGCATGAGACAAGCACTCTGTTCATGCCACGAAAGGTTTGCTCCCATTACCATATTCCCTGAGACAACAGTAATGAACCCACACTCACATGCACACACGGTGTTAATGCACCAAAGTAAGAGTATAAAAATTCACAAAAGTTTAACAAACACATGGTCCTTTGTTTCTCTAAAATTTCCAAGTTAAACCTTATATTTTGTTTCTCATAAAGTTTCTAAGTATAACATTAACAGGAAGATCCATTAAAAAGGAAAAGACAAGGAGAGAACTAAAATCATATGAGAGGGAATGATTTTCTTCTCAAACATAATTGCTCTGGGGAAGGAAAAGTTTGGTGATGGTGGCAGCAATTACTGTTATTTGGTGACAGTTACTGTTATTTAAACTTTTTAATTTGAGTTTAGGGCTGAGGTGATTAGAAGTGCTCTAACAATAATAAGTACAGTAATGATAAAGAGAAGGTCCAAGATATAGCAAGGAAAAATGCTTACCATGTATTAAGCAGCCTGGGGGAAAAGCGGGCAGAACAGAAAGAATCAGGCTCTGGGTTTCCCTGTCATGATCTTTCTCCATACTTGTGTTACTGAACATTGATACAGCAGATTAAAAGGGGTCAGGAACAAGTATCTGGTTTGGTATGAAAAATCAGTTGGATATTGAACTATAGACAGGTTTTGACCCAAAGCAGGAAGACACATAAAATGAAGGGCCATGAGTTTGAACAGAGTTGAAATGAGCTGACTGCTGGCTGGCCCAGCCCACTGAGGGAGCACAATCTACAAGGATCAGAGAGGTCCACTGCCAAGTAGGGGGTTGAGGCTTCAACAGCAGGATTTCCTCTCCACGAACACAGTGACGTGGCTGGGGGGAGGGGGAACGAATTGTAGGCCCCAGATGAGTGGCCTGGCCCACCTTCATGAGACATGACAGTAATGAGCAGATCTTCCAAGAGAAGAACGCTGTCATGTGCCCATTTCTAGGTGGGTTTACGAGGCCTGTGGAATCCCATCTTCTAAGATTATTTTTCCAAACCTGTATTTGACAATATTTGTGGTTTCTGGCCCTGTCATTTTGCTTTGTTTATTTGGATTTTTAATAACTAAGGTTAAGTAAACCTCTTTAAGCATATGTCATAGTTGCATGTGATCCAGGAGAGCGACTACAGGCATACCTTGGAGATATTGCAGGTTTGGTGCCAGATCACCTCAATAAAGCAAGTATCGCAATAAAGTGAGTCATACAAATTTTTTGGTTTCCCAGTGCATATAAAAGTTATGTTTACAGGGCTTCCCTGGTGGCGCAGTGCTTGAGAGTCCGCCTGCCGATGCAGGAGACGCGGGTTCGTGCCCCGTTTCGGGAAGATCCCACATGCCGCGGAGCGGCTGGGCCCGTGAGCCATGGCCGCTGAGCCTGCGCGTCCGGAGCCTGTGCTCCGCAAATGGGAGAGGCCACAACAGTGAGAGGCCCGCATAACGCAAGAAAAAAAAAAAAAAAAGTCTAATATTACATTTTACTTTTTTTCCCTTAAAATTGTATGTTTTAATATACTTTCTCCACAGAAAGTGGAGTATATTGACACAACTTCTGACCAGTATAATGTGGCAATGTCTTTCAAAATTATAAAAGCACTCTTTAAATCAGTAATTCCACTTCTAGGACTTTAAATTTAGAGGGGGCCGCAAAAAGCAAAGAAAAAAAAAAAAAAAAAAGTTATGTTTACAATACTGCAGTCTATTAATGTGCAATAGCACTGTGTCTAAAAATAATGTACAATCCTTTATTTAAAAATACTTCATTGCTAAAAACTGCTAACGATCATCTGAGCTGTTAGCAAGTCACAATCTTTTTGCAATAGTAATGTCACTGATCACAGATCACCATAACAAATAAAATAATAATGAAGAAGTTTGAAATATCGTGAGAATAATCAAAATGTGACACAGAGACCCAAAGTTAGCAAATGCTGTTGAAAAAATAGCTCTGACAGACTGGCTTGATGCACGGCTGCCACAAACCTGCAATTTGTAAGAAACACAACATCTGCGAAGCATAATAAAGCAAAGTACAATAAAATAAGGTATGCCTGTATAGAACTTAAAGCCAAATAGCTCTGGGTTCAAATGTCATTTAGACTGAGCTTTATCTTGGCCACTTACTGCATGACTTTGTGCAAGTTACACAATCTCACTGAGCCTCAGCTTCCTCATTTTATAGATGAGAAGATAAAAGCTAACTTTCAGCCCTGGCATGAGGATAGGATACCATGTGTCTAATGTATCTGGCCCTGAGCCTGGGACACAGCAGGTGCTGAAGAGATAATTATTTTATTATTATTGAACAACCCAGAGACACTTGAGCCAGAAAATATACTTTGAGATGTTTATGAGAATGCACACTCTACTTCCAACAGATAGCCATGTAAAATGAAAGAGATGATATGTATTTGGAGCAAAAATAAAACCAGGCATTGGAAGCTGGGGCCATCTGCTTATCTAAGGACAAAAATGCGGAAAGAGGAAGGGGGTAGGGAACAATTTTGCCTATAGTCAGATATCCTCTAAAGTACTTTCTTCTGTCTTAAGAATGTGTTTTAACTGAGCTGCAATCATCAAGATGATGTAAAGCCACCTGTAATTTTATTTACAAATAACTAACCATGTAAGATTTCTCCAGAGCTAGAGCTACCCCCCACTAAACAGATGTCAACCCTTCAATTTTCTATTCCCACGCAAACTGAAATCTGAAAGACAAGATGTCTGTACAGATTACTTGCCCTATGACTGTTTCTTACTAATCGGAAGCTGAGATTCTGATGAATCTAATACTAGAAGAGGAAAGAGAGCTGAGAAAGGGAGGGAGGACTCCACGTGGAAAGAACATGTCTGAGTATAAGATCATGAAAACCCAAGAACAAAGGAAATAGAATTTTCACTGGTAGAAAGTCAGTTTACAGTTAAAGTAATAGGAGTATTACAGCAGGCATGACAAAAAAAGAGTTGGGTATGACCCTTAAAAGCAATATTAAAATCTAAGGTAAGAAAATGATGCCTGTGATTTCTGGAGACCATAAATATAACAGTACGCAAAATGGGTATGTTTCATTTTACATAGTAACATGACTCATATTGCTATACAAACAGAGACACTACAGTACTTTTAAGTATTGAAGTATTAACAACCTATAAATTATGAAGAAAGAAAAACAAAGTTCAATGTTTGAAGTTTTAAATTCCTGTACCAGTCAGAACCCTCCTACACTGTTGGTGGCGATGTAAATTGGTACAGCCACTATGGAGAACAGTATGGAGGTTCCTTAAAAAACTAAAAATAGAACTACCATATGACCCAGCAATCTCACTACTGGGCATACACCCTGAGGAAACCATAATCTGAAAAGATACATGCACCCCAATGTTCACTGCAGCACTGTTTACAATAGCCAAGACATGGAATTAACCTAAATGTCCATTGACAGAGGAATGGATAAAGAAGATGTGGTATGTATATGCAATGGACTATTACTCAGCCATAAAAAAAAAATGAAATAATGCCATTTGCAGCAACACGGTGGACCTAGAGATTATCATACTAAGTGAAGTAAGTCAGACACAGAAAGACAAATCTCAGATGATATCACTCATATGTGGAATCTAATTTTTTTTAAAAATGATACAAATGAACTTATTTACAAAACAGAAACAAACTTAGACATATCAAAAACAAACTTATGGTTACTAAAGGCGAAAGTGGCGGGGAGGGATAAATCAGGAGCTTGGAATGAACATACACACACTACTATATATAAGAAAGGTAACCAACAAGGACCTACTGTATAGCAGAGGGAACTCTACTCAATATTCTGTGATAAACTCTATGAGAAAGAATCTAAAAAAGAATGAATATATGTATATGTAAAACTGAATCACTTGGTTGTACACCTGAAACACAACAATGTAAATCAACTATACTCCAATAAAATTAAATTTAAAAATTTTTTAATTAAAAAAAATGTTAAAAAAGAATAAGGAAGTATGCTTGTATCAAGAACATTGCAACTAAGAACTCCAGTCCCAAAGTCCCGACCTGAAACTCTTGGAGCTAGAAGTATTTAGGAATTTATACTTTTTCATATTTAAGAAAGTAATAATGCATACAACAAATTACATAAAACTTCAGTGGGATCAGAGCCAACACCCTGTACTCAAACAAACACGTTTATATTTCTGCTGTGAAACATACACACATTCATAGTGAATATGAGAAATAAAGATCCTAACAAGGATCAATTCGATCGGGTCAGATTTTGCCACCGAATCAGTTATAAAAAAAAACTTTGGATTTTCAAAGTTATTTGGGTTTCAGAGTTACAAAAAAGGGTTTGCGAACCTGAATTTGGTTTGCTTCATTTTTAGGTAAGTGTTAACGGTAGCTAGATTAAAACGTTGAGGTTCCTTTTCACCACCTCTGGAGTATTTAGACATTTTTAAGAAGTCCAACTTTTAAAAATATAACTTGACATAAAACATACTCTATTTTTTTAATTTGTTTTTTACCCTGGAAAATTACATCAGTTGATTTTTTTGCCCTACAGGATATAATAATCAAAATCACAAATGTACTGGTCACAATTATTCACGTACTGGTCACAACAAATATCTGTTCACAGTGTGATAGGCTACAGTGTTCTCTTGATTCTCCTGAACTCACAAATGAAGTCAGTGGTTATCCATTCTGAAGAGGGAATTATCACACAAACCTTGTCACCCACCTGGTGTGCCCTCTGACGTTTTTATCCCCATTCTACAGCAGTACTGAGCAATCCCATAGTCCGCAATCTTGGCAATGATGGCGGCATTGGGATACAGGGTGAAAAGCAACACGTTGTGGGGCTTCAAGTCACGGTATATAATCATGGCTGAGTGGAGGTATCTGCCGTGAAATGCACAGGAAACCTTATTAAAATGTGATTATACCATAATAAATTCTGTCGTTATTTTTTAAAATATATATGTTTATTATGCAAAGCATCAAAAATTCTGTGCTAAGTTTCACCTTCAAAGTTAAGAGATATTGCAGAAGGAAATCAAAATCTACAAGTCCAATAGCAGAGCAAGCTTATGCTTTTAAAACAAACAAACAAAAAGACATGTCAATCCTGATAAGTGATTTAAACTTTAAGGCACAGCCACTTTAAGCAAAGTACCAATTTTTTGAAGACTTATTTTTTGTATACTTTAAAAACTACTTAAAAATAATTCTGAATTCCCTCAATACCATGTGACTGTTTTAATTAGTTTAAAATGTAAATATGTTAAATAAGAATTGATAGTATTTTGTTATAACTCCCATTTATTTAAGTTTTAATTTTCTTAAAACCACAGAGAAGTTTTTGTTAGCTTTTAAAATTCTCTCTATTCCATCTCTCCTTTGATATTTATTTTTTTCTGACTAAACTATTTCCTAATTTTTTGGAAAATATTTTCTACTTTTTCAATAGTAATAAATCAAAATAAAAGACTTTTCTAGCTATCAATACTGTACCGTTTGAAGATGTAATTTACTTTAAAACCCAATTCTGCTATAAATTATCAAAGAACATTTTAGACAGAGAATTGGGATGAGTAAAACATTGTATTGGGAAAGGTGATATGGGGCATTTTGAAGTCTTTCCTTTTAGAAACGGATCCATTCAACCATCAGCAACTAGAGCTGGACACTCACTGTAGGTGAAGAATAAAAACTAGTTAATATAAAAAATAAAAAGTTTTCATCTCAACCAGGTCTTGTCCATTCTGGAAACATGGCCGAAGAGCTATTACTTTGCCCCAACTACTAAAGTAATAACTCTATTACCTTTCCTTACACACTCGCAAAATTCAGATTTCCCCCACTCTGTTTACCCTGCCCCATGACATTAAATTTGCCATAGCTCTGCACATGATCTCACAACTACATTATGTCCTACCTTGAGAAAAGAATTTTTCATAGAACTTAATAGAGGTAAATTTAAATCCATTGTTTGTGGCTTTTGGTTTAGGTTCACATTATATCAATATATATTTACTCCATTACCTAATACCAGTCACTGCTAGGGGCATTAGGAGAAGAGTGGCAGCAATACCCTGAACTTTCCACTGACTGATGGGAGTGTATGTATAATTTAATGGTATCAACTAATGCAGGAGAAGATCCTTTCTCTTCCAGGATGTAGTTAAGACATTTGACATTAGGCCTATTCCTTTCAGTAAACATATTTTTGGATGAAAAGTAAGATAGATGTACTAATGAAGTTGACCTTAATAATAAGTTATGGGCTTAAAAGAAAAATTTACTAAGGGCTTACTGAAAAGCCATTAGCTACTTTGCCCTGCTGAAGAGAAAAGCTGGGAGATTAAGAACAAAAAAGTTAAAGCCAAGTCATACATAATTGAATACCATCCAAATCCTTCATAATGCATGCCTCTTTCAGAATATTTATAGAATACAGACTCTCTCAGAATACTTTCCAAAGGTTAAAAAAAATTAGTTAAACTTAATTTGAAATTATGTCAGTGGGAGAGAAAGATTATCTGGATTAGTTAAAATGTTCAGTTATAGAATTTAATCTTAAAACTGCAGTTTTAATAGCTTTTAATAGAATAGCAGAATAGCTTTCGAAATATTAACAAGTACAGATCTTGTCTTTCTAAGAATAATTCAGCCATAATTTATGTATTACATGACAGAGAGCATTGTCAAATATTTTATTAAAACAAACTGGTCTAAACTCAACTAGTCATTTTTAAATTGTGATTATCATCAATCTTGCTAAGAAACTCTTATAACTTAAAGTAAACTTTATCTCATCCTAAAGAGAATTACTCTAAAAATAGAATGCCTTCATTCATTTAACAAATGTATATTGGACATCTATGAGGGACAGTCACTGGGGATATAAGTCACTTTGTCTCCCTGCTCTTGAGGGGCCACAATCTAGGAGAGACAGGTGCTCAAACAAGGTTGCAGAAATGTGATGAGTACCAAATGCTAGGGAAGCCAGAAGAAGAAAAGCACAAAGGTACAGATAGCAAAGCAGACTCTCCCACTAGACTATAAGTTTTAAACCTTGATAAGAGCAATATAATCTCTATCTTTCCTTCTTCAGCAGCCAGCACAAAGTCCTGCCTGGAGACTCAAGAAACATGTGTTAGCCAAACCAACTCTTCATGGTGCAGTCAGACATCATTGTGGAGATGGTATGTGAGCAAATTCTAGAGGAAAATGAGTTCTCTAGGCAGACAATTTTTGAAACGACAGGAATGACAAATGCAAAGACGGACATGGATGTCAGGGAGAAATCAAGCCCTTCAGCATGGTTAGAATGAGGGCAGTGGAATGGGAGGAGGCTGGAGAGGCAGGCTAGAGGATACATAAAGAGTTTTGATGCTATGGCCAAGGAGTTTAGATGTATTCTGCAAATAACTTGGAATGCCAGGGAATTTCAAGAATAATTAGATTTTTATTTTAGAAGAATATAATATCAGAAATGTTCTGATAGTTCCCCGGAGGTACCGGACCAAGTCAGCAGTAGTGGCATAAAAATAAATTAATCAATTAAAAAGATGATGTAAAATAGTCAAGGACCTGGTGGACAAATGAGTACTTACTTTTGTGGGAGAGGGGGTTGCTCTGGATGTGACTACAAAGACCTTTGTTGGCAAATGGGAGATACAAGATAAAGAACAGATTCATGGTGGAAGGAAAAAGAGAAAGCAAATTCAATTTTGAAAATACTGAAACAAAAAAGCTTATGGGAAATATAGGTGACCATATCTTCAAAGGTAGTTGAGAATTATAATAAAGAACTCAAAGCAGCAGACAGTTAGAGGTGTAAACTAATAGCTGAAGGCAAGACTGCAAAAGAGAAAATATGTAACATGAAGAAAGTTCCTGTATGTCACAGCGCCATCATTTAAGGGACTGCAGAGGCGTGCGATTTTATTGTCTCTTTCTACCTCCATAGTTATAGCTCTGTGCTAAAATATATTTGGGAAGACAAACCCTAATGCTGAGATTTTTAAATATACTTAGTGCTGGGAGAAGATCGATTGCTACTGCAATCTACTAGCCTCTTGTAGCACAAGACCCAGAAAGCTCCCTTGGCATTATGCTGAGAACAAATCAGGCAAATGATAGGAAAATATGATGAGACTTCATTTACTTTAACAGAAACTGCTGGATTTGTTATTTTAAGTAAGGTCTTCAAGTTATTTAAGAGATGAGGTCTTTCAAACAGTGATGCATTTTTTAAAAAATCAATTATTCATTTTATAAATAAGCACTTTGGGAATTATGTGGAAGATTTAGGGAAAAATCAGGACCTGGAGTCGGTTTAATCAAGGAAAATGACCAGTACAGCTTTTGAAATACATAAGACATAGTTGCCCTTTATCTAGATTAATTTAGTACAAGGTTCCCCCTGGTGTTCAAAAGTAGATGTAGCAACCCAGATCCAAATCTTTGCATTCCTG